TGTTGATCTCTTTAGCTCCTTTGCCCCCTTGCCGTCTCTAAACGGCAGCGTTTGCCTGTCAAACTGATTTATGCACGTGTTTGACATATATTAATGATCTGTACTGCGAAACAATTGCGCATTAAATTATTAAAATGTTAGGTCTTCTCAATTTGTTGTTGTTTACCGATATGCAAATGTTTAGAGAGGAAGGCTCGACAATTGTCGGTAATTAGCTATTGTTTTCATAGAATTTATGGATTGTACATTTAAAATTAAATAAATAAAAAAAAATTATTAATTGGTACCCTTAATCATAGATTTTTGTTTTACTCTTTTCACACTTTATTTATCGCATTGATGTCCCATTGGGCGTGGTATTCACAATACAAATATCTTGACTATAATTAATGGCTTCAAAACGATCCGGCATGCTCCAATATGACGTAATTTGAGCATTAAGTAGAATATATGTATAGTATATCTATCTGTCTGCTTATCAAGCATTTGTTATGCAAAAACAAAATATCCACGTACAAATATTGTTTCGAAAATAAACATAAATCTGTCAACACGCAATGCCATACAAATTGTGTCACAATTAATTATCAGTTTTTTGTTGTTGTTGTTTTTATACACTTATTTACGAAGGGTATAAATATTTTGAATAGATTTCTGGTATTATGATGTCGCGGCACGTGGGCCGCTACTCCAAACGTTTAAACGAGTTTTTGGGGTATTTTTTTAAGTTTGAAATTTTTAGATTAATTTGAAAATTTAGTTCCAGTAATTTTTGAAAATTAAAGATTTATATTCCAAACAAAATTATTTTTTAAGTAAAGAAATAAATAAATACAAAAGAAATAAATAAAAAATAAATTCATAAAAAAAGTAATTTCTTGTGAACTCTACTTGTGGACTCTTAAAAATCGTTAAAAAATAAGTGTCTTACACAGAAACGAATCATTTACAAGGGTATCAAATATTCGTCCCCCCTGCTGAGTTTTCTTTTGTTGTTTTTCTTGGCGCTGCCCGTGCTGTTTGTTTATAATTATTTATTTGCTTGTGGGTTTTGCGTATATCGTAATTACATTATTGCCATCGATTAATGAAAATTGTTCAATAATTTTATGTCATTTTATATAACGCTTTCTGTGCTTTTTTTTTACATTGACAGTTGATTTGGTTATTCATTGATTGCATTCATAAATAACGTAAAACCAAGGCTGAGCAATAAATTTGGTTAATTTGCAAAATGAAATAAATTCGCTTAAAATGTACAAAAAAAATGTGATGTAACTGAAGAGCGTATGCCGTAGCAATTAAGGCCAATTAAATTTATAAATATTTATTGAATAAGGGAAAATACAGGTTACGAAAAACAAAAGAAAAACAAATACAATAATATTAATTAAAATAAATACCAATTAAGAAATTAAAGAAAGATATGATGATGAAAGTAGGTCTCTTAGGTGCAAATAATTTTTGTTAAATGTTTGTAAAAATTCTAATTGGAAGAACTCCATCTGGGGGATGTCTTACACATTTATTTGTTGTATAAATAATATTCAAACTAATATTAGTATCTAGTGTCGGCTTTCAGATAAAGATTCTCAATTAAATATATAAATATTCCACAAAGAACTAATCTATATAGAAGAAAACCACAGTTTCCTATTAGCCAACCATAACATATTTAATTTAATGGACTCTCATTCCACTCTACCCCATGATTCATGGCTGCACCTCAATTTGTGGGTTGTGTTCATTGACCAATTCACAGGCGAACAAAAATCTAAAGAAAAATACTTTCGAAAAGACGACAGATCTTAAGTGAGCCGCGATGACTGCCAACACCGTCCATCCATCCAACATTGCTCGCCCACAAATGTATTGCGGGTGAGCACGCACGATTAATAAATTAAATTGAAAGACACACACGAAATAGTGGAAAACATACAGAAACACTCACAAGAAATTTCTCAAATGAAATTGTTAAACACTGACTAGGCATGTGCCTTGAAAAATGTCGCGACATGCTAATAAAAATATTTGCCTTTCCTTCCTCTCTCTCATTAGAATAGATTTATATTTTCTCTTAAAATTGAAGAATAGCTACCTCTGCAGAGGGTGTGATGAGACCACAGCATATTTATATTTCTTAAATATTCTAAACATTAAGAAAGATTGGACTTATGTATATCCCAGTTCCAGTTGATTTGCTGTAAAAATTTCCCATAGGCGAATAGACTCATTTAAATAGCTGATTTAAAAATAAATAAATTTGGTGAATCAAAGAGGATTTTTTAAAAGAAGAGCCAGAATTTTAGAGCTCAGCACAAGAATATTTCTATCAATCGATCTACTTAGAGTCGTTTTACCAGGGTATCCAAATGTTCGTTCTTTTTTTTATTTTTGTTTATTAGCCTTCTGCTAATAAAAATTAATTTGAAAATACTTTTTAAAATGCTTTCGCCTCGGGCATGGGGTTGGGCTGGCTGGCTGGCTGGGTGCTGGCATAGCTTAAGATTTTTATTTATTTGTTTTTCTAATTTGTATTTTTCGCCTCACATCTATTTCGTTTCGCTCCTAAGTACGTTGTAGTTTTCGCGATTTATTTATGAGCTCTTCGACTATGTTCTGTGCGTTTTACATATTCTTATATTTTTTTTCTTTGGGGGGGAATTCTAACATTCTATTCGCTTATGAGGCACAATGGTGTTTATTTTACTTGATTTATGTTTCGTTGTGTGGCATTATTTCTCTAATGTATGTGTATTTGTCATGTTGAAATACGCTTTTAAATCCCTCAAGGGGAATTTATGGGCCAAGAGTTATATTGAGATTATGATAGATATAGGGAATGTTCTTGAAAAAAACCCTAAAATGAATAGCTTTGCGATTTGGAATAACCCAAAGAGTTTAAAATATATATTCCTTTTTTTATTCGATTTAAACACAATTCACTTTCCATTTAAATTTGTTAATTTTTGTATTTATTTATATATTTGTTGATTTAATTTAACCCTCTCTTTATAGCTTCATTCTAAAACTAAGCTGGCTCTTGGTTTTCGTTTGAGCTCTCATCAGTTCTGAGATTTACGAGTAGTATATAAAGTTTTAAGCAAACAGTTTATATACAAATTTTGAGTTTTGAAATGCCGCTGACAGACATTGAGGCTGGTTTTCCAGATACCATTCGGTTACAGCCGGGTACTAGACGGCCGGATTGCCTCAAAGTGATCATCGATCATTTTCGGGCGGAGGGGACGAACCAGCATTGCCCTAAGAAACATGTGATTGGCTGCTTCCGGATGTCGGTGAAGAGCGATGCAACGACAAAGTATGTCGAGTTGACAGCCCTTAAGCTCTGCCGGAAGCTAATCTCATCGGGGGAATCCGACGAGGAGTAGCAAGAAGATGAAGATGTTTCCACTACAAGCGGGCCATCGCAATCGCTAGGATCTTCAGCTGGCAATGATATTTTAAAATCGTGAATGTTGTTAAGGTCTAAATAAAGAATTCCCCAATACCTGAGTGCCCCAGCACATCCCATAGTATTCTCAACCGGTACTCTATATTTCTTATAGATACTCTTGTGCGATACCCTCTCTAAACCATGTTGGAGTGTACCTCTCTCTCCCACAATAGCAGTTTTTTCTGCCAATCTTTATAGCCCTTCCGTGTATTGATTAATTTATAAAATATCTGTTAAGATCCAGAATTTTATTAGATGAGGTTCTGTATAGACATTCCATTCAACGAAATGCCTACAAACTAAAGTCTTGAGTTTGCCCCAAAAGAATGTTGTGAAATGTATTGCAATTTATGAGCTGTGACTGCGTACACATTTGATTTATGTTAAACATAATATTTGTATGGAAAGGCACACATTTCCTTGGCCATTTCCAATTGAAATTTATTTTCGTCGCGCACAGAAAAGCCATAAACAACTTAAGTAGAAAATGGTTTTTGAGGGTCATTAACTAAAATCCATGCGCTTATTTCAAACACAAACAGCTGTGCCAACAATTTGTCAGTCACACAGATAAATATATAATTTTTATGAACGAACTTTCTGAACGAAATAAATATATATCACAGACACTTATCGTAAAATATCTGATACTAAAAATTGTTCATAATTTCTTCGAAAACAAATTGTGACACAGATATTTAGAGACTTAACCTATACGCAGAATAAAGATTAAGGCAGCAAATATTTGTCGCCGATAAATTTCCATTATCTTTCCGGCCTGTATGGCCGTTTTGACAGCCACACGACCCGAACAGGGGGAAAGATCAAAGCAATCGAGCGAACACATATTTCTGATCGTCGTGCCTTATTAATAATGCTAAATATTCTTTTATGATTTATGGCCAGTGACAAAAGTCAACCGGTGTGACATCTGGTGCTAACAGATTGAATTTAAAAATGGTTTTTATGCCCGTTACTCAAAGGAATGAAGGGTGTAGAAAATCATATATATTACTGATCTTAAAGATCACAATTTTGAAGATGTGTTAGAATAGAAAACGATCATATATACTTGAAATCGTCGCAATCGGATCATTATTTTAGGCAGAATGAACGAAAGAAGGCTCTTTGGCTCTTTGAACACCTGGCTTTCGAGCACTATTAAGGCCAGAGCCACGCGCTTATGAGTTTTAGGAATATTTAGTACTTGCCTTTTCTGCCTTTAGCTGAATTATGGCCCAAATGCAGGAATTTCTGGCTTGTGCTGTGTTTGTGGCAAACAGGTTGAGCGCATTATTTATGCTGATTCCATTAGAATCCATTTCGCAATTTAATTTATTTCAGTGCTCCAATGTTTTGCTCAAGTGTTACAATCGTTTAATTAGAGCGAATCAATTGCGTTGGCCATGTGCTAATCAAATGCATTTTTAATTTGTAATCAATTAAAGTGCACCACCAGTCGCTTGTGTCTGTTAAATAAATACATTTATTTTGTGGACACCCGGAAAGTGTTATTGAGAGTGTGAAATAACTGTTTGCCGTACAACTTCTTTATTAAATGGTTTGTAGATACAATTAAGATATTCAAATTATATAAATGTATGCCAGGATCTTGTAGATCCACTGACTATTACTCCAGTTTGTGCTCTGGCTCATCGTCGGGGCACATGGATTGGATCTTGTGCTTGCGACGATCGCGACAGCTGCCACAGATGCGCATGCAGAAGAAATAGAGAAGCTCCAGGAAGCTGAGACTCGAGATGCCCATGAAGAGGCCACAGATGCCACCGCAGTTGGATATCAATGTGGAGACACCAAACAGAATGGTACGCTTGATGGCCGTGAACTGATGCTCCTTGAAGTACACAGAGAGACGTGAACCAATGGCACTGGAAGGAAAATAGATGGTTGAAATAATGATAGATGCATGGAGATACATATATACTCCATACTCACTCCGTATGCTCATAGACCTCTCGAAAAGCCCTAATAGTCTTAGCCACATCGAATCGTGCTCTGGATATCTCAAAATTATACTCCAGCGATGTGCAGGCCGGCATGCAGTTGCACATGATTTCCACATTGTCATTGACACTCTTTTCCATGGTTTGATTTTGCAATAAAGTATAGAGCTCATCCTGGGCAGATGTATAGCAGTTAATGTCATCCAAACCACACACAGGAGTGCCCAAAGGTTCTAGAAAAAAACAAAGATTAATATGGAGCTTAAATAACGATTAAAGATATTTACTGGGCATCCAGAACTTGGCACAGCCGCACTTGGAAATCGTAAAGTTGGCCAGGCATTCGGTTTGGCAATTGCTTTGCGAATACGAACGGAAAAAGGTCAAGGAGCGCTCATCATCGAACAGGCACTGACGCCTGAAAACAAAAGGGAAATTGGTTTTGGTCTAAGGCGAAATTCCTTTCAACACCTTTTTTGTAGTTACTTTTCTGGGCTGATTTCGTGCAAATTGTCGGTAGACATGACATAGTTGGGCAATACACTGACCAACACCTCATCGCCATGGGGCACCAGAATGTAATTGCCTGACGTGAGCGGCACACTCTCCGGGGAGTTGAGAAAGACCTGGAAAAATAACACAACTGAAGACACGCCACACCCAGTTTCTGTATAATGATACCTTATACCTTATAGCCCTGTTTAAAGCTGCGGCAATCGTAGTCAAAGTTGTGCTGCAGTCCCTGCAGAAAGGCAAAGAAACCATTGCCCACGGATGAGAAGACCGTGCGCTGTGGATACGTATTCTGTCCCTGATTCCCGTAACCCGTATCCAGCGACCAATTGCCAGTGATGTTATTCAAGGGCGGCAGATCAACATCGAAGAAGTTATTGAAATCGACCACATCGGGATCCTTGTAGCTGATGAAGTTCTCGTCACGATAAATATCCTTGGGACGAAGGCCATTGAATTGATAGCATATACCCTCGTCGGTGGCAACAAAATCGAAGATTTTATCACAAAAATAGAACCGTCCATTCCATTTGCAGAACGGACCAGTCTCATTCTTGGATATACTCAGGTCTATCAATGTTTGGGTTACGTCCACAAAGGGCGGATTCATTCCCGCGAGTATGGGCATGAAACGATGAACCACATCCGGATCACAGATGTGCATGGCAGCAGCCATGCGGGCCAATCTGTAAGAGAGATGATATTCGTAATTTAGAGAATTTTCAACAAGTTTTGAGGGATATAAGACTGCAAGAAGAGGTATATATGTGTATTGGAAACGTACAGAAAGGATAACAGCTTCATATATTGAAAACAATGATTGAAACTGTTAGAAATCTATAAGGCTTCCATAGATATATAGAAAACGTTTCATATTGCCACAAACATACTCGTAACCTAACGAAATATAACTAGAAACTGGTTCCGAAAAGATCTTAAGGATAGAAGAGATATAGAAACATAAATACTCAACTCTTCCTCATCCATGCTGGTAACATTACCATTATTCTGGTATTCATCCCATAGCAAACGCGATACATTCGTATAATCGAAGAGATTGCGTTCCATTTTGATTTCCGGACAGATGGTTATCGTAGGAAATGGTATCTTATGCACTGGCACCAGGGTCTCATCAAAGCCCAGTATCACCGGTGAATCCTGCCACTTGAGATAGGTATCCCAGATGAGGGAAATGGCAAAGTACACGGAAATGCATGTGAAGAACAGCCAATACACTCTGAAACCAAAACAGGGTTAGCCAACCAAGCAAGAGCCTCGATATATCACACCACATACTTCTCATAGATGGGACGATGGACCTCAAACAAATATCGTATGCCGTGTATGGTCGTGCTCTTGGAGTACTCCAGCAGCAGACCCTTGCAGGCGGACAGAGGACTGCCGTATCGAATGCGAGACTTGATGATCACATCACTGGGCACATCACTCAGGGCCGCGGAGGCAATGCTGGCCCTCTGATCGTAGCTTGGCAGGGCCAGGAGCTCTGGTCCGGGCAATATGTTGCACGGTTTCTCCTCCGCTGCCTCCTCCTTGATCTCGGACATGTTGCACTGTGTCCGTAAGCGTATCGCCAACTAAGCTGTGCCAGCCATACGGCGTGTCCTTTTATAGCTTTTACAGCTGCAAAAACTGGGCGCGTTCTTCGTCTCCAGTGGGAATGTTCCGGAGTCCTCGGAGTGCTCGAGGGACCTCGATTCGCACGCACCAGCAAGGTATTCCGTGTACTTAAACTTAATTACAGACCCACACACCCTATATCGCACGTACATATGTGAAGGTGTTAATAATAATAAAGTGACTGCTAATTTCTCATTTGCATTATCCCATTAAAGGGGTCTTTAAGTAATATCTTAAGGTTTTTTACTCTAATGTTCTTGGAAATGCTCCTCCAAAGTTTCTTTTAAGGACAGCGGACAGAGATATGTCAACGAAATCGTCTAGTTTATGTTATTTGTTCTCTGGAAATAAAAAGTGTTTAAAATATCTAGTATCTAAATTCCTTTCATATGTGAACGTCCCTCTATTAAGCCAACCGTAGGGCACTGCTGCATGATGCTCGACAAGTTACTTGCAGGAAAGCTTTGAAAATTATACCTAAATGCTATTAATCGAATTAACATAATATATATTTTTTTTAATCATTATTATTATTAATTTTTATTGTTTGAATTTGTACTATTAATTTGTTTTTATATTCTTAATATTAATTTTTATTTATTATTTATATTATTAGTATTTATTTTTATTTATATTATTAGCATTCATTTTTATTTCTGTTATGAATATTTTAAGTACTAAATTTAATTCTTTAATTTAATTTAATTCTTACTATTTTTATAGCATTGATTTATTTTAATTATTAATTCTTATTTTATTTTTAATTTAATTTGTGATGCTTTTTTATTTTCCTTGTAATTATTATTATTTTTTTTTTTAATTTTTTAGTTAAATTTTTATTAATTTTTTGTTTTAACTATTAGCATCAATTTTTGATATTTTAATTAACATTATTACACTTTTCGTTTAATTAATACAAAAATGAGTGATAACAATTAAAACAAACAAATAAAAAATAATAGTTAAAATATATAACTAACATTATTACACTTTTCTTTTAATTAAATTTATTTATAGTTAAAATATATAATTTTTTAATGGTTTGTTTTAATTATTATTACTCATTTTTGTATTTTAAATATTTTTATTTATTAATTCAGTATTAATATTTATATATTCAATCTGAAAATATTGCAAGTGGATCCCAGATTAGTGATTTATTATAAAGATGCTGGGGACATGGATGCTTCCTGAATCCCAAGAACTTTTTCATTATCTTCACAAGTGCAGAGTCCGCTCTGGGGTGTAGTACTTTATATATCTATATTAAATTTAAAAAGTCACTTTATGGAATAAAATATTATCTCTCTCTATTCCAGGTACGCAATTCCACCCAGCGGTGATTTACTTATGAGCTATTCAATTTTAGTAAGTACTACCAATTGATTTCTGTACCAAATAGGCAATACAACATTCATTCCTTTCTTTAATAATTTCCCTTATTGGATATTTACATTACACTGACAGGTATGAGCATTTATGAGTATTTACAACATCAGATAGCCGAAACCATTGGGGAACATCAAAAGAACCCTATATAGATGGTGTACACTTATCAAATCATCTCGGCCAATTTTGGCAGCATCCTGCGAGTCTTTACTTTGATTTTATGCTAAAAAGATTGTCACCCATATGGCCGGCCTCCGGCATGCCAGCGTACATTACTCTTTTTTCCGAATGCCCGACATCGTTTAAACATGTTCCTGGAATTTAGTGGGGATGCTCGCCTTATATGCTCGACTGCCGGTCGGTCCCCATGGTGGTGGGCCCCCCCCTGTCCGAGGAGTGCCTGAATACCTGACTGTCGGTCCGTTGGACTGCCTGCATTCGTGCGTGGTTTGATTTTGTCTGCGTAGTGCTATCCTTAGTTGTTGGCACTTATTTCGGGGACATTGTCATCGATATAAAACGGGCTTTTTTGCTGTTGCTGTTGCTTTTTCTGTTGTCCATTGGTCAGGAGGCATCCGTTGCGCATTTTTCGAATAGTCAGCCAACTCTTTGGGTTTCTTGCTTTTGTCCATTATCAGAGTGTGTGCATCAGCATTTGGTTTCGCGTGAAATTCACTCACGACTTGTAATTATTTAATTTTATTGTTTGTTTTGTTACCGACCGAGCAAAAACGCCTTCGTTCCGAGTGCCTACTGTTTAACAAGATCTCAATATCAGATCAATTGGCTGAAAGGCCTTTTAAAAACTACACTAAATTATTATGTAGATACGGTTTGTTACGTATATGTGATGCCCCCAGGTCCCAACAGCCAACGCCTACGACTGCCTCTGGGCATTTTGTTCCACCTCGTATATGGTTATTAGTCATTAGGCTTACGGAGATAATTATTATGGGTAAGTTGTGGGGCTTAACATGCCCTTAACTGAATTGATAAATGGTCTTAATGAGTGTTACCTATAGAATCACAAACTGATTGACAATCTACGGGGGCTAGAATTTCTGGAACGATATTTGAAAAAGTAGAACGCAGAATAATAAAGTATAATTATGTCTATTAGATTGCAGAAAAACATCGCAATCGGCCAGAATACACCCAGTCGACCCCTGCCCAATAGGATGATCTAAGAGGACCTCTACCCTCGAGACCTGGACAGATAATTGAACCAAATAATATTCCCCTCAATATTCTTCGACCATGATGACACGTATTTAAAAAAATTTTTTTTTTAATCAATTTTTTTTAAACTAATTTTTAAATTTATTTTTATTATTATATTTTTTTAAATCATTGTAATTTTTTTTTGTGATAACAGTAACAACAAACAATATAATTACAAATTTTTTAAGCAAATACAAATTACAGAATAAATTAGGAATAAAAAACCTACCGTTTGGCTCCTTGAACACCTGGCCCTCAAACGTTTTTAATGCTAGATAAAGGTGCTATCGAGTGCATATATCTTTTGGAGGCCTATGCAGATCAAGTTTCAATTTGTTTTAGTTCTGTTTTAAAATTAAGAACAACATTTCTTGCTTAAAATAAAACCTGCAACCTTTTTTTTACTTTTCTCAAACAAAATATTTTGTCGACTGTCATCAAAAGAATTTCCCATAAATTCACAAAGATATACGAGAGTGCACATATATGTTTATACCTCTGTCTAGGGCCCTTGGGTAATTTAGCTTAAATTATTCATATTTTAATGTGTTCCGAACATATGCCACAACTCGCAAAAATCTCATGGCAGGCAACGCTCCCCGGGAATGGACACAAAAAACTCAATTGCCTGCCTCTGTCTGTCTGAATTTTTTGTGTGTGTTGTTTTCTTCCTTTTGGCCAACGACGAGTCCGACGAGTGTGCATTTGATGGAACTGTAATTAAATTGGCGAGTGCTCCAAAACGTCACGACAGTCTACACATTTTAGCAATTCTATTTGAATAATTGACGCTAGGTCGGTCTGTGGATGCTGCATGCTGCATGTGGAATGTAAATGGTCTGATTGCCCTTTGAGGAGGGCGGGGGTTTTGGGCAGGCCATGTGAAGTTTTGTTGAAAAATTGAATATTTTCTAGTTGTCCCCGACGGCATAGATATTCATTAACTATTTACTGCAGGCCAAAATCGAACGAAAATAATAAATACGAGTAGGGCTTGATACAATTTCATTTTGAAATTCGTTTTAAAATTCGTTGTTTAGATGTTTGATTTAATTTATTTAGTTTGTTAGTTAAATTGAAAATGAATGCTACTGTTTTTTTTATTGTTGTTGTGTGGATACATTGATTGGTTTAGAGCTCGACGGGGAGAATTTTTTGAAGGAATTGAAGGAATAAAGAGTTTTTATCTTTAAAAATAGTTCCTCCTTGAGTTACTCCGTTTGATTAGTATTTGGAAATTTTTTTTTATATTTTCTAGTTCGGGATATCTGAAGGTTGAGACCCGCGAGCCTCGACACAAACATTTCGACTTGTTTTAATCATTTGTAAAGATTTTTTTTAAGTATCTTCCTTCCAAAAAGTTGTGTCTAAAAGGACCGTATTCCGTATTCTATAGTTCGTTTGGCCTTTTGGAAACAGTTCTTCTTTCTGATAAAACTACATCAGTTCTTAAAATTCCCAAAGATATTCTTGTAGTATATTTTTCAATACTACTTTTATGATTCGAATAAGAAACGTGAAGGATACGTGTACGAGTAGATGTATATGGCAACATAACGTACGTTATGATCTCATCAATTCAGAATGCCTTCCATTCAACTGGGGGGATGGATAACCATGTACATTCTTCATAACCCAGAAAGCTCCCAACCTCAAGACTCACTCCCGCCCATACACTGATGGACGACTGTTATTCCCTTTTGGCATTGCATCTCCTACTTGACTCATTCACATTTGTTTATAAATTATGAGGAAGGAGGCAGGAGCCACCAGGTAGAGTCTGACTGCTGACTGCAGCTGCTGATGAGAGAGACGGGGAGAGAGAGAAAGGCTGCTCCTGCAGCTCCTTCAGCTGGTGCACCTCCTCCACGTTGGTGCTCTGTAATAAATCAAAAGCAGTTTCGTCTGCAATTGTCTGTCGTTTTGGCCTGGAGTCTGTCTGCCTGTCTGCCACATGAGGCATCTGCATCTGCATCTACCAGGTACCATGTACCTGTGTCCGTGTGCAGGGAAATTTATGCATGGCTTCACATTTCTTCGAGTTATCATTTGTTACCTAAATTATGCATGTTGAGCTGAACGTTTTTGTTGTGGAATTACCTCAGACGATTAGCTAGACCCTTGGGCTAAATTGGTCAAGAGATTGTTAACATTATTCGCAGGGGGTCGTTCCCGCCCGGACTGGACTGTCAGTTGCCAAAATTACTACATAGTTCGCCCCGCAAGGTAATTTCACATTTTACGTTCTCTATTCCACAAAATGTATTCTAATTATGCACAGCAAATGCTAATCATCATTTCTATTATAAACTTGGGC